CTCAAAATAAATAAATAAATAAATAATAAAGCCAGGTACAGCAGTTCACGCCTGTAATCCCAGCACTTTGGGAGGTGGAGGCGGGCGGATCACGAGGTCAAGAGATAGAGACCATCCTGGGTGGCCAACATGGTGAAACCCCATCCCTACTAAAAATATAAAAATTAGCAGGGTATGGTGGTGCGTGCCTGTAGTCCCAGCTACTCGGGAGGCTGAGGCAGGAGAATTGCTTGAACCCAGGAGGCGGAGTTTGCAGTGAGCCGAGATCATGCCACTGCACTCCAGTCTGGTGCCTGGTGACAGAGTGAGACTCTGTCTCAAAAATATATATATATAAAATAAAAATAGGCTGGGTGCGGTGGCTCACGCCTGTAATCCAAGCACTTTGGAGGCCGAGGCGGGCAGATCACCTGAGGTTGGGAGTTCAAGACCAGCCTGACCAACATGGCGAAACCCCGTCTTTAAAAAAATTTAAAATAAAATAAAAAATAAAAATAAAACCACAATATGATATCATTATACAACTATTAGAAAGACTAAAAGAAAAAATGAGAAGAGAATTATTCTGTTATTGGGTGAAATTGTGGAATGGTACGGCCATTTTGCTGGGTGGAATTGCACAATGATACATCCTCTTTGGAAGAAAATCTGGAAGTTTCCTGTAAAATAAAACACATATTACTATATAAGTCAGCAGTCTGACTCCCAGGTATTTACCTGTGAGAAAAGAAAAATGTATCACTACACAAAAGAACCTGTATTTTCATGTGCATACCTGAGTTGAGGAAACAGAGTTAAGCATTTAGGGAGGTGGCTGGAATTTTCTTTCTTTTTTTTTTTTCCCAATGGCTGCATTTTTATTTTTTAATATTGCAAAATGTTCTAATCACAGTGGCATAAACTCCAGGATTCCCACTTTGCAAGATGTGTTTTTATTTCTGATTGTATCCTGAAGGAATCAGAGGTCTTTGCAAGGTAAAGTCACCATCCCTGGTTACAGAGATCCTTGATAGGTGCAGGCTTCCTGTGTCCAGGCCTTTTGAGCCATCTGTATTTACCTAACAATGACTTGGAGACGCAACTTAAAAAAGCAAGACGCACAAAACAGTTGGGAAAAGGTTATAAGTCAAATAATTTTATGCAGACAGAAGTTGTTTTCAAAGCTGTTCATGATTTAGTAGAAAGAATTAGGAGCTTGTAACAATTACTTAACGTTGCTCATTTGCTGAGGTTTCATTCCAACGAGAGCTGCACTGTAAGTCTGGTTTTGTGGCCGCTGACAGTCGTACTTCCTTGAAATGGAATACATTTCCAGTTGTTGTCTTAAACGAATCTTGCTTATCGTGTCATAGAAGTTGGGCTCTGACAAAGTTTCTTCTGTAGGTGGCACGCTGAATATTCTCGGAATTCTCCATTTGTTCCTGCGAGTGCAGTGCACCTCCCGCTCGGCTGCGCACGCCAGGCGGGCGGTGGCTGGAATTTTCAAGGCAGAGTACTGCAAAAGAGAAGAGAAAAAGAGAGCTCCAGGCAGGCACGGCGGCTCATGCCTGTAATCCCAGCACTTTGGGAGGCCGAGGCGGGCGATCACAAGGTCAGGAGTTTGAGACCAACCTAACCAACTTGGGGAGACCCCGTCTCTAAATTAAATAAATAAAATAAAATAAATTTAAAAAAGAAAATGAGAGCTCCAGTGATCTGTAATCTTCAGCTGAATGCTGATCAGTGCAGATGTGTGGGGACACTACCACAGCGGGGGAAAGAGCCATTGGAAAGGACAGGCAGAGCCATCACCAGAACTCACAGAACTGGGGATATTTCATGTTTCCAATGGCAGAGTAGAAAAACCTCCTAATAAACCAGTTTCAGACAGAGGACTCAGAAAAGAGAGTATTGCCAAATGAGCCCTAGAAAAAACTTAAAGGCAAGCCTCAAAAAGGTCAAATTGTTTCCAAGTCATTTAGCTGCCTCCAAGACCAAAGCTGAAAATTAACAGGAAAAATCCCAGAATACGATTTAAAATTACAGCATCTAGGCCAGGTGCGGTGGCCCACGCCTGTAATCCCAGCACTTTGGGAGGCCGAGGCGGGTGGATCACGAGGTCAAAAGATCGAGACCATCCTGGTTAACAAGGTGAAACCCCGTCTCTACTAAAAATACAAAAAATTAGCTGGGCACGGTGGGGCATGCCTGTATTCCCAGCACTTTGGGAGGCCGAGGCAGGTGGATCATGAGGTCAAGAGATCGAGACCATCCTGGTCAACATGGTGAAATCCCGTCTCTACTAAAAATACAAAAAATTAGCTGGGCATGGTGACTCGTGCCTGTATTCCCAGCTACTCAGGAGGCTGAGGCAGGAGAATTGCCTGAATCCAGGAGGTGGAGGTTGCGGTGAGCCGAGATCATGCCATTGCAATCCAGCCTGGGTAACAAGAGCAAAACTCCGTCTCAAAAATAAATAAATAAAATAAAATAAAATAAAAAATTACAGCATTTTGCATCCAATTGAAAATGACCAGGTATATGAAAAGTGGAAAAATATGACTCATAATGATAATAAAAATAAATCTATAGAGAGACTGACTGAGAAATGACATAAATGATAGGCAGAATTAGTAGACAAGAACATTAAAACAGAAATTACAGACTCTGTATGTTCAGGAAGGTAGACAAATCCTGAGCGTAAGAGACATGAAGTCTATTTCTAAAAATCCAAATTCAAAACTACTGGATAAGGAAATTGCAATATGTGAGATTAAAAATAGACTGGATGGGATTAGCAGCAATCTAGGCACTGAAGTGCAGATTACTGAATTTGAAGATAAGGCAGTAGAAAGTATCCAAAATGAAATACAGAGAGAACAAAGACTGGAAAAATAAAAAACAAAGGAGCAGAGGATCCATTAACTGTGGGACATCAAAGTGTAATTTACACGTAATTGAAGTCCCAGAAGAAGAGGAGAGAGTCAAAGGGACTCAAACACTAAAAGAAATAATGGCGGGCCGGTCGGTGACTCACACCTGTAATCCCAGCACTTTGGGAGGCCGAGGCGGGTGGATCACGAGGTCAAGCGATCAAGACCATCCTGGTCAACATGGTGAAACCCCGTCTCTACTAAAAATACAAAAAAATTAGCTGGGCATGGTGGTGCGTGCCTGTAATCCCAGCTACTCAGGAGGCTGAGGCAGGAGAATTGCCTGAACCCAGGAGGCGGAGGTTGCAGTGAGCCGAGATCACGCCATTGCACTCCAGCCTGGGTAACAAGAGCGAAACTCCGTCAAAAAAAAAAAAAAAAAAATGGCATAAAAATTTCTAAATTTGATGAAAATGAACAGTAATTAAAAAAAAGCTCAATGAACCCCAAACAGAAGAAACCTGAAGAAAACTACATAAAGTTACATCATGAGCAAATTGCTTAAAACTAATTAACTTTATTTTATTTTTATGTATTTATTTTTTTGAGACAGAGTTTTGATCTTGTTGCCCAGGCTGGAGTGCAGTGGTGCAATTTTGGCTCACTACAACCTCTGCCTCCCGAGTTCGAGCGATTCTCCTGCTTCAGCCTCCTGAGTAGCTGGGATTACAGACATGAGCCACCATGCCCAGCTAATTTTTGTATTTTTAGTAGAGATTGGGTTTTGCCGTGTTGGCCAGACTTGTCTCCAACTTCTGACCTCAGGTGATCCGCCCACCTCGGCCTCCCAAAGTGCTGGGATTACAGGGGTGAGCCACCATGCCTGGCCCCAATTATCTTGAAAAGACACTGTTTACAAAAATGAAAAGGCAACCTACAGCCTGGGAGTAAATATTCGCAAAACAGATCTCCAACAAAGAACTTGTATATAGAATATATAAAAAACTCTTACATCTCAATAATAAGAATTCAAATAACCCAATTAAAAATGGATAAAAGAGGCTGGTGCAGTGGCTCACACTCATAATCTCAGCACTTTGGGGGTGGAGGCAAGAGGTTTGCTTGAGCCCAGGAGTTGGAGGGCAGCCTGAGCCAACATAGTAAGACCCCCATCTCTACCAAAAAAATACGAAATTCTCTGGGCTTGGTGGCACATCCCTGTGGTCCCAGCTACTCACAGACTGAGATAGGAGGATCCTTAAGCACAGGAGGTTGTGGCTGCAGTGAGCCACGATTGTGCAACTACACTCCAGCCTGGGTGACAAGCCCAACTACACCCCAGCCTGGGCAATAGAATAAGACCCCGTCTCGAAAAAAAAAAGGAAAGAAAAAAACAGACAAAAGATAGATCTAAATAGACATTTTGCTTAAGATGAGATACAGATGGCAAAGAAATGTATTAAGAAATGTTCAATGTTGTAAGTCATTGGTTAAATGCAAATTAAAACCACGGAGACAGACTGCTCTGCCCCCACTGCAATGGTTGACATTTTAAAAATTAACTGTACCAAATGTTGTTGGGGATGTGCAAAACTGAAACTCTCATACGCTACTAGGAGAAAGTAAAATGATGTAACCACTTTGGGACAGAGTAGGAAAGTATTTGTGCATGTTTATTATTTATTAATTTGAGATGGAGTCTTGCTCTGTTGCCAGGCTAGAATGCAGTGTCGCCATCTTGGCTCACTGCAACCTCTGCCTCCCAGGTTCAAGTGATTCCCCTGCCTCAGCCTCCCATGTAGCTGGGACTACAGGTGCGCACCACCACGCCCAGCTAATTTTTGCATTTTTACTAGAGACGGGGTTTCACCATGTTAGCCAGGATGGTCTCGAACTCTTGATCTCATGATCTACCCGCCTCGGCCTCTTAAAATGCTGGGATTACAGGCGTGGGTCTCTGCGCCCTGCCGTACATTTTTAAGTGGTTAATTATAGCCAGGGAAGGGTGGCTCATGCTTGTAATCCTGACACTGTGGGAGGCTGAGGCAAAGGGATCACTTGAACCTCGACAAATAACCCAGACAAGTTCAAGGCAAATCTGGGCAACATAGGGAGACCCCATCTCTACATGTAATTCTTTTTTCTAACCAGGGGAAAGCGCAAATGCAGTCCCCCACTACCACAAATTATGCAGTCGAGTTTCCCACATTTGGGGAAATCACAGGGGTAGGCACATCCAGAGTGCAACGGATAAGCCTTGCCCTGGGAAAACCACCTTCATCATGGTGGTATCTCCCTGCTAGGTAAGTAATTTTTTAAAAAGAAATTAGCTGGGCTGCCGGGCGCAGTGGCTCATGCCTGTAATCCCAGCACTTTGGGAGGCCGAGGCTGGTGGATCACCAGGTCCGGAGATTGAGACCATCCTGGCTAACATGGTGAAACCCGTCTCTACTAAAAATACATAAAATTAGCTGGGTGTAGTGGGGTGCGACTGTAGTACCAGCTACTCGAGAGGCTGAGGCAGGGGAATCGCTTGAACCCAGGAGGCAGAGGTTGCAATGAGCCGAGATTGCACCACTGCACTCCAGCCTGGGTGACGAGCAAGACTCCATCTGAAAAAAAAAAAAAAAAAAGAAATTAAAAAAAATTAGCTGGGCATGGTGTCACATGCCTTTGGTCCTAGATAACTCAGGAGGCTGAGGTGGGAGGATCACTTGAACCTGGGAGGTCAAGGCTGCAGTGAGGTGTGATCACAACACCGCACTCCAGCCTGCGTGACAGGGCGAGACCCCGCGTTAGTCTGTTTTCACACTGCAATAAAGATACTACCTGAAACTGGGTAATTTATAAAGGAAAGAGGTTTAATTGATTCACAGTTCCAGATGGCTGGGGAGACCTCAGGAAACTTATAATCATGGTGAAAGGTGAGGGGGAAGCAAGAAACTTCTTCACATGGTGGCGGCAGAGGGAAGAGTGAGAGCGCAGAAAAAACTACTCTTTATAGAACCACCAGATCTCGTAAAAATTCACTCACTGGCAAGAGAACAGCAGCTTGGGGGAAACGGCCCCCATAGTCTAATGGCTTTCCTTCCTTCACACGTGGGGATTATAGATCCCTCTGTCAACATATGGGGATTTACAATTAAAGATGAGATTTGGGTAGAGACAGAGCCAAACCATATCAGACCCTGTCTCAAAAAAGAAAAACACATTAATTATTCACCTGCCATGTGACCTAACCATTTCACTCCTAAGTATTTACTCAAAAAAAATGAAAGCATATGCCCATACAAAGACTGTACGTCAATGTACATAGCAGCTTTATTAGTAATGGCCCAAAACTGGAAATAACCCAAGTGTCCATCAACAAGTGGGTGGTAAGCAGATGGTGGAACATCCGCACAATGGAATACTACTCAGCACTACAAAGGAATGAACTACTGTGTATGGTGTGGATCACTAAGTGAATGAATCTCAACAATTATGTTAAGTAAATGAAGCTAGACAAAAAAAACTTATCCTGTATGATTCCATTTATATAACATCCTAGAAGTGGGAGGATTGCTTGAGGCCAGGAGTTCGAGACCAGCCTGAGCAACATAGCAAGACCCTGTCTCTAAAAAAAAAAAATAGGAAAAAGAGTTAGCCAGATGTGTGTGCCTGTAGTCCAGCTACTTAAGAGGCTGAGGCAGGAGGATCACTTGAGCCTAGGAGTTTGAGGCTGCAGTGAGCTGTGATTGCAGCACTGCACTCCAGCCTGGGCAACAGAGCAAGACCTCATCTCTAAAAATAAATAAATAGGCCGGGTGCAGTAGCTCACACCTGTAATCCCAGCACTTTGGGAGTCCGAGGCTGGTGGATCACAAGGTCAGGAGTTCAAGACCACCTTGGCCAGATGGTAGAACCTGTCTGTACTGAAAATACAAAAATTAGCTGGATGTGGTGTAATCCCAGCTCTCAAGAGGCTGAGGCAGAAGAATCGCTTCAACCTGGGAGGTGGAGATTGTAGTGAGCCACTGTACTCCTGCCTGGGCGACAGAGCAAGACTCTATCTCAATAAAATAAAATAATTTAAAATCTAGAAAATGGAAATTAACCTATGGTGATAGAAATTTGACCAGCGATTGCCTGGGAGCAGGGTAGAGGAAGAATCAAATTAACAAAGAAGTACAAGGGCACCTTTGGGGCTGATGGTTGTGGTCGCCTTTTTTTTTCTTTTTGAGATGGAGTTTCACTCTTGTAGCCCAGGCTGGAGTGCAGTGGTGCAACCTCCACCTCCCGTGTTCAAGTGATTCTCCTGCCCCAACCTTCCAAGTAGCTGGGATTACAGGCACCCACCATGCCTGACTAATTTTTGTATTTTTAGTAGAGACGGGGTTTCACCATGTTGGCCAGGCTGATCGCAAACTCCTGACCTCAGGTGATCCGCCTACCTTGGCTCCCAAAGGGCTGGGATTACAGGCGTGAGCCACTGCACCAGGCCTGGAGGTGATCACCAGGTTGATTGTGATGATTTGTACCCCTATGTGAAAACTTATGAAATTGTACACTTTGGCCGGGCGCAGTGGCTCAAGCCTGTAATCCCAGCACTTCGGGAGGCCGAGGCAGGCGGATCATGAGGTCAAGAGGTCGAGACCATCCTGGCCAATGTGGTGAAACCCTGTCTCTACTAAAAATACAAAAATTAGCCAGGCTTGGTGGCGTGCACCTGTAGTTCCGGCTACTCGGGAGGCTGAGGCAGGAGAATTGCTTGAACCAGGGAGGCGGAGGTTGCAGTGAGCCGAGATTGTGCCACTGCCCTCCAGCTTGGTGCCTGGCGGACAGAGTGAGACTGTGTCTCAAAAAAAAAAAAAGAAAGAAATTGTACACCTCAAATAATTCCATTTCTTGTATATCAATTATATCTCCGTAGAGCTACTTTTAAAAGAATACATATCTTTGATTAGATCATGGCCTTAATAAACCAGCTCTAACTCAAATTTTAGAGAAATCTGACATGAGACAAAGTATCACATGATGTTAAGAAATTATTGCACCCAGGTGCAGTGGCTCATGCCTGTAATTCCAGCACTTTGAGAGGTCAAGATGGGAGGATTATTTGAGCCCAGGAGTTGGAGATCAGGCTGAGCAACATAATGAGACCCCCATCTCTACAAAAATACCAAAAATTAGCTGGGCCTGGCGCCATGTGTCTGTAGTCCCAGCTACTCAGGAGACTGAGATGGGAGGATCGCTTGAGCCTGGGAGGTCGAGGCTGCAGTGAGTGATCGCGCCACTGCAGTCCAACCTGGGCCACAGAGGAAGACTAGACTCTGTCTCAAAAAAAAAAAAAAAAGATTATTGTTAAAATGTAATAAAATGTTCTAATTTATTTTTAAAATGTGAGGAGGGAGAGGGGGCTTCTAAAATGGGCTCCATAAACAGCTCTGGAGCTTCCACCTCACAACCAACCAGGGGTGGCTATGTGCTAGCCTTCAGGTCTCCAACCTGCCCAGCCCAGTTGTCTTGGAGATGGGGATAGGAAGTGGGCAGAGAGAAGCTCTCAATCCTCTGCCTTCCTTGGAAATGTCCTTAGAACCTGGTAACATTGTACTTAACGCTTAACAGAAAATCTTCACTTCTTGCATAGAGACTCTTCGTCTTAATCCTCTGGGGCCGCTGGTTCTGAGGCAGTCGCTGTTGTCTAGATCAAGTTTCTGTCTGTGCACCTCTCGCTTGCTTGCTGGCAGACACCATTTGTGTGTGTGTCCCACTCCTCCCAGGGACTCAGGAAAATCATTCCATTCTACCCAGCTCAAGAGGTAAATCCTGACTGGTGTAGGCTAGTCTTCTTTGAAGAAATTGGTTTGTTTTTGTTTTGAGACGGAGTCTCACACTGTCACCCAGGCTGTAGTGCAGTGGTGCGATCTCAGCTCACTGCAATCTCCGCCTCCTGGGTTCAAGCAATTCTCCTGCCTCAACCTCCCAAGTAGTGGGGACTACAGGTGTGCTGCCACGCCCAGCTAATTTTTTTTGTATTTTTAGTAGAGATGGGGTTTCACCATGTTGGCCCTGATGGTCTTGATCTCCTGACCTCGTGATCCACCCGCCTCGGCCTCCCAAAGTGCTGGAATTACAGGTGTGAGCCACCTCGACTGCCCTTTGCAGAGACTGGTTTAGGAGCTGGCATGTGAATCAGTGAAATTTGAGAAAAGGGTGGGGAGGGAGATTGTATTAGTCATTACACGAAATACTTTAGAGAGCAGAACTGAGAGATAGCATAACTGTTTTGCTCACAGCTACAGAAGCTGGAAGTCCAAAATCAGGACACCATCAGATTCCGTGTCTGAGGAGAGCTTCCAAATTCCATCTCTGCTTCCAAATGGTACCTTGTTGCTGCATCCTCTGGAGGGGACAAATGTGGTGTCCTCCCATAACACAAAAGATGGAAAGGCAAAAAGAGATTAATGCTGCTTCCTCACATAGCAGACAGTGGAAGGGCAAAAGGAAGAAAGGCCAGCTAGTTCTCTCCTCGTTTTTTTTTTTTTTTTTTTGAGACAGAGTCTAGCCCTGTCGCCAGGCTGAAGTGCAGTGGCACAATCTCGGCTCACTGCAACCTCCACCTCCTAAATTCAAACCATTCTCCTGCCTCAGCATCCTGAGTAGCTAGGATTACAAGTGCCCACCAGCATGCCCAGCTAATTTTTTTATTGTTAGTAGAGACGGGGTTTCACCACGTTGGCCAGGCTGGTCTCAAACTCCTGACCTCCTGATCCACCCCCATCGGCCTCCCAAAGTACTGGGATTACAGGCATCAGTCACTGCACCCGGCTCCCTCTTGCCCTTTTGTAAAACACTAATCCCATCTGTGAGGACAGAGCCCTTGTGGCCTAATCATCTCCCAAAGGCTCCAGCTCTTAATACTGCTGCTGTGGGGATTCAGTTTGAACATGAATTTTGGGGGAGGCACAAGCACTCGCACCATAGCAGAGTCTTCTGGGAAATGTTTCCTTGCTCTTAAAAAGGACTCCAAGGTCTAGGCATCCTTCCTCTCACAGCGGACATTGTTGTTTCTGGATATGAAGTCTGGAGCGGTGGCAGCTCTCCTGAGACACCTATACACAGAGCCCTTCCCAGAACAGAACAAGCCAGTGAGCATGGCAGAGGAAACACAAGAAGAGCCTGAGCCACAGATTAGCCCATTCGGGAGCTGCCCCCACCTCCCGGCTTCCTGCTGTATGAATTCATACACTTTCCTCATTGGTTTTTTTTTTTTTGAGACGGAGTTTTGTTCTTCTTCTTCTTCTTTTTTTTTTTTTTTGTTAGAGCAGA